TTTGTTTGTTTTGTTTTAAATTAAGATTTGTGCAACATTTGTTATCATTCTTATTTTTATCATGCTAATGGAGGAAGAAAAAGTAGTATCGGCTTCATTAATCGGCCAAATAATATCGGCTGCACATATCGGCGTATCGGATAGACTGATGTTTAAAAAAATCGGTATCGGCCTTCAAAAACCTGTATCTGTCGATCTCTAATTATTATATTACTCTTTTCATAGTAGTCCTTTTAAACAGTTGTGGTGTAAATGTGTATTTGTTTTCTAGTCATGATGGGTTTGAACTGGAAATGGAAGCATCTGATAAACTGTCGTTTGTCATTTTGAACATGGTCTCAAACAGAAAAAAAGCATTTAATTTACTAATGTAGCTTGAGTGAACATTGACATCTTGATCATATTCACCTTGTTTTATCTATTTTGCTAAAGTAACTTTGACATTTGATCATACAATGCCAGCATATTGTATGCAATTATGAAGAACCAATGTATTGAGCATGTTTATGCAAGTTTGACTTTTGTTTCTTAATCTTTAACAACTTTCACAATAATTGTAAGACTGGTTAGTCATGAAGAGGACAGGTCTCTGAAAATTATTATGATCTTAAGTTGCACACATTTTGTTTAATCATCTCAAATTTACACACGCGTGAATCAGGTTTTCCATTACTGTATAATTAGGCTGAGAGTCCGGTCTTCTCAAAGTGTTTCAGTGATTACCTCAGCTGACTTAAGTTATGCGGCTTCATCAATTGCCATCTGTCCATTAAAGGCAGAGGGAGGCTGCACCTCTACTTTGTGTTGTTCATATCGCTGCCCATAACACCTTCACCTCCATCTCCTTAAAGCTAACCAGATCTTCAGGGTTCTCCCTAACACCTGGTACCATTGGTTCTTTGTAATCAGCAGTGACATATTTGGAAAATAAAAATAAAAAATGAATGCTAATCAGTTGAAGAGTGCTTCAAATTCTACCTATTGAAATGAATACTTTCTTGCTTTAATACGCCTGGGGAGAACCTTGACCTACGTTAATGGGCCAGACTATTAAGGATAAGCACCATTGGCTATTATGTGCTTTGATTGACTCATATAAATCTCCACGTTTTATTAGAGATTTATATTTGTGGTACTAGATGTTCTGTTGAGGTTTTGTGAAATGTTACTTGGCAGTGCTCATGGTCCTGGTCCTCATAAAACTCTGATTATTTCCCTCTGACCGTTAGGTACGATACCGTCGGGAGCATGCATCAGGTCGCCACCTGCCCTTCTTTCCACTGCTCGAAGACCTCATGAGGGATGTTTGTGATGGAGCTGCACTGCTCACTGTGGTCCATTATTACTGCCCAGATATCATGAAGCTGGAGGGTACGGTGTGATTCATTCACACTCTCACAATAATACAACCAAAGCCTCTGAAAGAATGTTTTTCTAATTATCAGTTGCCCTCAAAGATTTATTTTTTCTTATGAACAGCATCAGAGTTTTACTGCATGTATTGAATCTAGTATCCGCTTGTGATTATATTTTTGTTACTTGCACATGGCTTACAGTTCCAGTCCTCGCAGCGTGACATTTAGTCAACAGAGCATTGAGCTGCATCCTGACCTGACCTGTTCTCTGCCTGTCTGATCAGATATTTGCCTAAAGGAAGTACCTTCCATCGCTGATAGCCTCTACAACATCCAGTTGCTCAGAGAGTTTGCCACCGAGTATCTGAATAAAAGTTGCTATCTGACAACTGAGGATATGCTGTACTCTCCGCTTGTCCTCAAGGTACATAATGTGACAGAAATTTTAATTACAAACTACAATTACAAAAAAGTATTCGTTACTGTGTCAAAACTAAAATTAAATGTTTGTGACCTGCTTGTTTTTTGTCCAGCACAATGTGATGGTGTTCATTGCTGAGCTGTTCTGGTGGTTTGAGACTGTGAAGCCAGAGTTCGTCCAACCCAGAGATCTTCAAGAGTTTAAAGATGGTAAGCATCATGTCACACAAAACTCAGTTATTTCTTCACTTATTACTGCAAAGGCACAACTAATCCGAGCCAAAGCCTAGTCACCATTTCACGTTTAAATAATGCACACCAACTTAGTCGGTATGCAGAGTTTAATATTTAACACATACGTCTTTTTTATTTAGCTCGAGCTGTAGCTCATCCCAAGAGTGCCCGCCCATCAGTGCCCATCTCAAACGCCACCAAGCGCAGCTTTCTTGCAAGTCCTGGTGTGGCCGATAACCAGAGCAGCCCTGAAGTCTGCAACAGGTACTTCCTGCACCCTGAAGAATCTGACCCCTTGTAAGTCTTTTCTCATCTTTTATTACACCCCTCTTCATCATTWTCTTGTATTTAGAGTAGCTTTTCAAAGGTCTATAGATAGTGGTGCCTGGTGTTCATTCTCATCAGCCCTTCACTGTCTTGTTTTGTATTTTGTGATTTTTGCAGTGAGTCTTTGTGCATCTTGTTGTATTGTTTATTCATCTGTTTTATGAAATGTATTGGAAGTAGGGATGGGTACAGAATTCGATACTTTTATAAGTACAGATAAAATTTTGTCTGTACTACTGAGTACCTATTCACGTAACATCAAACGGTACCATGTTTTGGTACATAAACGCATCATTGTGACCGTATTGGTGTAAGAGTGGGGGATTTTCCKTGCTCCACCTGAACGCAGCATCGCGCAAGAGCGTAGTGACATCAGCAGCYGCTGGTTCAGTAWACAGAGCTCAGTCTGAACGTGGCTTGAATACCTTATATTTATTTTAACTCCATCCTCTTTTGCTTATTTGATTTAAACTATTATTTGCCTCCCATGGACCTCCATCACACTATTTTTCTAGTGGGGAAATGACAGTAGAAATACGTGGAGCTGGATTTTAATTTGTGCAATAAGAAAACACTGCGTTAATTGTTTTCAAGATTTTCACTTTAAAGAAATTTGTTAAACAGCTGATGTTACAATACAAAGAGTTGGATGTTGTCTTGATATTTGTTAAATTTTATATACTGAGAAATAAATGTTAAATAAAAAAATTAGTTTATTATTAAAAAACAACAACACACAAAGTACCGGAAATTGGTACCATTGTGTACCGAATATTGGTACCGAATCGATTCAGATGTCAAAGGCTATGTTCACACTGCAGGCAAATCTGACCCAAATCCGTTTTTTTTGACAGTCTGAACGAGACAAATCCGATTTTTTTTAAATCCGACCCAGGCCGTTTTAGTATGTGGTTTTAAATCGGATATATATCTGATGTTTTCAAAGTGACTGCAGTGTGAACGCTCATGTCACATTCATCTGACTTTTTCATCGGGAGGAGGGGCTGAAGGATCGATAAAACACTAACCTGAAGTCTCGCTGTTTAAATCTGTAGCTCCGTGTGTTTACAGCTCCAAAACACAAGTCCAGTTGCTTCATCTTTTTACTTTTCATTTTCCTTGTAGATAGTATGATAATAACTATGTCCAGCCTGGGTCGCGGAGAGTATCAATCCTAAAGTTAGCTACTCGGTTGATACTTTTTTCCAGCTCGTAGTTTCGTTCAAAAAAAAAAAAAAGCTTCACTGGAGCATCCCGGTCAGAGGCAGGTTCAGATATAAACACTGAACTGAAGAAGCATGTCAGATAATTATTTAATCGGCTCTGATTAAACAACAACTTCAGATTCGATGTGCAAAATGTAGCATCCATGCTAGCTCTGTAAACAAACAAGCCGGCTGATGAGACGTCACGTCTTTTACTGCGCATGCGTGTCACATCAGTGCTGTGTAGCGTTCACACASGGGTCTGATRCAGGTCACATTTAAAATGTAATGTGAACGTTCACACAAAAAGATCGGATTTTTTCAAAAAATCGGAACTGAGCATTAAGACCTGCAGTGTGAACGTAGCCAAAGGTACCATCTCAAAATCATATTGGCTTAAATAAATTGTGCTTTAACTTGTGTAAACAGCTGCTGAACTGGAGATTTCCTGCCAAAGTCTTTACTAACRGTGCTAGAATGATGTCCTGATTATGTTCCCTTTGTTTGCTCTTAGTAAGGGGGGTCCAGCTTTCAGTCCCTCACATCCACTGCTCCCCCTGAGGCAGAGACAACAAAAACAGCAAGGGGAAGACAGTTCAGGTAAATATAATTCTCCTTAAAAAAAAAGTGGAGATGCAGGCTTGCTTCTAATTCATCCTTCATGCTGTTTTAATTTGAACAGGTCTGAGAAACCGTTCAAACTCCCTGTCTCAGGTGGATGGACAACAACTCAGAGGCTCTGCTGTAGCRTGGCCCGACAAAAGGCAAAGGTATCTGTAAAAATAGCAAGGAGTTTTTTGATTTGCCAATAATAACAATAAATGTAAACCGTATGCTGTACTGACAAATAGTCTTTCTGCAGGCCTGTGTCCACGCTCAGCCCCTTCATGTTGCATTCAGCCACAGACAGCGATGCAGACGTTGTTTCTGGTGACAGCGTGAGTCTGGCTCGATCAATCAGTAAAGACAGCCTGGCATCTAACGTCATCAACGTCACTCCGAAACACCAGACCTCCGTCCACCAGCAGTCTCTCGCTGCCATGCGAAGAGTCAACGGCCACAACCTGCTGAACAACGTCAACCTGGAGGATGATGAAGAAACTCTRGTGGCAGTCTCGAGGACCGATAGTTCTGTTACTCCCAAACGAGGYGACGGGGCGCAAGCTTCTGCTGCAGTCGGTCCCAAACCTTCCGCAGACTCCAAACCTGCTACAGAAGGCTTTTACCTTGAACCACTAATGCCTGCTGTACTCAAAACAGCTAAAGAGAAGTCTGTATGCCTGAACAAGGAGGAGGAGAGTGGTGAAGTGTCCCGGTCTACAGGCAGGGGCTCTCTGCGCCGAGGAGATGGATCTTCAGCAGCTGTTCGTAGGAAAGCCCCTTCTGATCTCAGCCGAACATTTACCCCTCCAGGCGAGAAGGAAAACGTGTCAGAGGAGGTACAAGCAGGGTTCAGACCAACGGTCACCAGCAGTGTGGATTATTCATCCAGAGAACCAGCTGAAGGTTTTTATCTTCATTCAGATTCTGAGGAACCAAAGTGTGRTCAAGGCCTGGAGGCCGACCTGGAAGACCTGGACGAGGAGGAGGAGGATTTAGACGAAGCTATTACAACTAAAGACTCAAACTTTCTAAGAAAAGCATACACTGACATTGATGAGAAAGAATCCGCTAAGCTCCAAGAGGACATGAATGTCAAAGAGCATGAGGACAAAGACCTGAACGGCGGCAGTGGTCGGTCCAGTCCTTGTCTCAGCACACACTCCCAGGCCAGCAGCATGGCCAGTGGCAGTGTGCGCATGACCTCCTTCGCTGAGCGCAAAGCCCAGCAGCAACGCTTCGGCAGCAACCATGACCTCCGCTCCAGTGCCTCCAGCTCCCAAAGGACCACTCCAGACGGATCAGAGAGTAGCGGACCCCTGTCATCTTCCTGGAGACTAAAGAGGGATCAGAGCCCCTCTTCCCCCTTAGGAGGATGCAATCGTCCGGGCGACGGCGCGAACGTGCTGGCCTCTGAAATAGTTCAGCTACGCATGCAGCTGGAGGAGAAGCGACGGGCCATCGAGCACCAGAAGAAGAAGATGGAAGTGTTGTCTGCGAGGCACAGGCAGAAGCTGGGAAAAGCAGCCTTTTTGCACATTGTGAAGAAAGGAGGTGGAAGAAGCGACACGTTACCAAACTCACTGAAATCGGACATCTCTAAAGATGAGCTGAATGGGGAGAAGGGACACTTGAGTAAAGATGATATGTGTGTTGATACCCTGCGAGGAGAGAAAGAGGTGGAAGGGACTGTCCCTCCTGGTGCCTTAGAAGCAGACAAAAAGGGAAACGGTGGAAGCTTTTATCTAGACGAAGAATTGGACCTGAATGAGTGCAGCCGCTCAATCGAACTACTGAACGAAGCCATCGGCAGCATCCAGCAGCAGATGATGCAGCTGTCGCTGCAGCAGGAGGTGCTGATGAAACAGAATGTACAGTCTCCGTCCGGTTCTGCTCCACCRCCTCCTCACGCAGCAGACAAAAACTGGAACTCTAAGACCGGAGCGGGTTTTCACTTTGTGGAGCCCCTCTCTGGTTCCGGCAGCGCTCCGACCAGAAAACCTCCCAAACTGAGCTCAGGCCGGAGCTCCAGGTCCAAGCCGTCAGAGCTAAAGATGGCTAAGGAGCAGAGCCGGCACGCCTCCAGGACCCTCACCCCCACACAGGCTGGGTCAGAACCGTTACCAAAYCCAAGACAGTTAGCTGGGGGCAGGTCCCCCAGGGCCGAGCAGCCCGACAGCCCCAGAAACCCCACAGCCGGAGAGACCGTGGACAGACCGGCGTCCAGTCACGCCCGGAGCACCACCTTCCGCCTTCACGACGAGGCGAACATGCGCCTGCCGACCCGAGTGGACCTGACGACCGTGGTGGCCCCAGAAGTGTCCTTCGAGTGTCCGTCCAGCACGGCGAGAGAGTCTGAGCTCAGCGCTTCAYATGGTTCAGGAAAAGAGACCGTACCGTCGGAGGAGGCACAGCGCAGCAAAGCCCACCTGATTGAGGTCGATCTGTCTGACCTGAAGGCCCCCGAGGAAGAGGAGGGAGCTGAAAATGGAACAACAGAGGGGGGCGATGGAGAGCAGAAGTCAGTCATGGGCTTTTTCTTCAAGGTAATTTGTTTTTATAGTGTTTATGTTGTTTTTAATCTCCAGTGCATGAAAATMATGAATGTGTTTTAGACTTTTGTTTTGCCAGAATATTTCTACTTTTAAAAGGATCCCAGATTAGTTGTAACTTTAGACTTTATTTGATCAACACATTTTAAAATAAAATAAAGAAAAATAAAGTAAAATGCGAATAAAAAAAGAATTAAATTAAATTAAAAAATAATAATAAAGACTGTAAAAATACAGTAGGCTGTTAAGTTTTGTAAATTTTTAAAATATATATTTTAACACGGATGGAGCCATTTTATTTACACACAAAGCATTCTGGGTAAATGATGACGTGGATAGGTCCTCGGTGTGAGCGAGCT